CAGAATACATAATGGTTTCAAACAGTATCTAGTTCACTGTTAGTTTGTGCTCTTCATGAAAGTGTTATACAACAGATATGGGACAGGTCCAATTAGCATCTTCGACAGAAACCTTGACCCACAGGTCATCTGATATATCACCACACGTTTTGTGCCACCATCTCTCACATGTACTGCACCCGATCATGGTTCATCGTCTTCCTCGTACCACATGTCTCCGCATCTTGTACAGAACTCTTCATCAACTTCCAACAGTTGTTTTTTACCTTTTCCTTTCCCCTTTCCTTTTTTTTCTGACTTTCCCATCATAACATGTGTCAACTGACTGAACATTAGGATAGAGTGGACGATCGTCTGACATACTGTCAGGTGTAATTCCAGGAGTGTTTTCATCAGTTGTAGGTTCTAAGTCTGCTGGGATGACACTTGACTTGGACTGATGTAATAACTCTGGGTGAGGCATAATGTCAGTCAACAGCACTACGTCTGATATTTTCTCAATCAGAACATACTTCTTGTTTGAAAAGTTGAGTTGCACACCGTAGCACTTTTCCAGTGTCACAAGATCATTCTTGGTGAATTCAGTCAATGCACCTGTATCAATCATCACTGATCCCTTCAGTTTCATATGAAACGCGTGCTTGTCACCTGACTGATCTTCTCTCAGATTCTTCAGTGTCAGGGATGCAGACTTGGCCATTTTTTGTTGTTTTGTGAGGACATTTTTCCTGTGTTCCATTGTTTTTTGCTTCCCTATATCCTCGATTAATTTTCGCCTATATTTAGCATCAGTGACATGCAGGTAAGATGTCACAATAAAAGGATATTAATCACATACTGCTATACTTCCACAATTAAAATCGTCCAACACTGTGCTAACATCGTTTGAATCAATATCATCGCATACAACTGATGAGGTAACATTAGAAAAAGGCCTACCCATGTCACAAACAAGTCAGTGTCATTCAGAATTGTTTCATGGACATATTGCAACACTTTTGCTCCATATTTCTGCAGATTGTCTTTGCTGTACAGCGGTAGTCTTTTGTTTTCAAGATCAAGGAAAAACTTGAATGTTGTGTCTGAAATGTTAGTCAATCCACAAGACAAGTTCTGTTTCCTCTGTGTGTCAATGAGGCTGTCCTTGTATTTGGTGGACTCCATTATTTCTGCATGTGTTACAGTTAAATGGTCAAGGAGGAATGCCTTGTCTTTGGCAGTTTTGTCAAGCACAATACGAGCTAAATGTAGATCCTAAGCAATAAATTTCTGTTGATGATATTTTAGTTTGGCAACTGACCGACCCCCCAACACTCGTACCTCACTTTTCCATAAGCGGACACAGGAATTTGTGTATCTTGAAGTGTTATGGGTCTGCCTGTACATGTAGAGTCCTTGTGTCCCTCCACAAACAAGTTTCCTGACCTTCGAAAGTAAACTGCCTGTTAGTAACAAATTCACAGGTTTAGGGGAGAAAAGGGTGGCACATCATGACCTGTACTCAGTGGATGAAACATACTGATGGTATAACTGTAAAACTTGCCCCAGTCTACTGTACCGGAATATAGTGTAGAGTCATTAATTTGTTTCATTTTCTCATTGCTTGCATACAACTCATTCACAAACTTGGAAGTCTTGTTGATGTTCTGCTTGCAGCTGTTGATGTCGGCATTAAGTCTATGCTGCTCGGGGGGCAACGGTTGATGAACGAGTAACATGTTCAGCATGTCATCCACATCTGTGGTCTTGTACCTTGCATCTCCTGGCAAATCTGGACTCACGATCTGTTATGAAAAAAACAAGGATGTGTTTTATATTCCCCGCAACAGATTGGTCAAGTTCTGTAGAAGCAATATGTGACCCCTCTTCTTGTTCCCTTATTGCTTACATGGCAAAACTATCACTTTTCACAATTATGTATGGATATTACGTTATTATGGACGTTAAGCACTTCAAAAACACATCAGGTGAACTTAAAATGATATGTGACAAAAATGTTTTTATTGGGGTTGCACACCCTAAATTTGAAAGAAATGTGAAATTAAATGTAAACACAAACAATTCCAAAGAATCGTTTTCACATACAAAGAACACCACGCGTGTTAATTCCGATGAGGTTAGCTAACTATGGTTTGTAACACACTTTAGGTCCCATGGACTACACATGTGAAATTGAAACAGGATCTAACCATAAATAAGGAAGAAATGTTTCCAACAATGTTGTTGCTTGTTTATATATAGAGTGAGACCCTGTGTATCTATATGTATATGTGTGGCTAAACATTACAATATATCAACCTCAACATCTGAGATGTCAGCATTTCTCTCCATTTCGCTGATGAACTCGAGTTCTGCTTCATCAAAGTCTGACTCATCCTCAAAGTCTCCAATGTATGGTACCTCCTCAACTCCAATATCTTGCTCTGGGAAAACCTGCAGTATGAAATCTTTGACTGTATTGACATGTTATAACATGAAAATTCCTAACAAACATAAACATGATAAATGTTATGGTTATGTTGCAGAACCGTACAATAAACACAAGAATGCATTTCAGCCATGCTTATGTTATGATTATAAATATTATGTTATAAGCTGTTTAAGACTATTTAAGTCTATTTAAATCTCTACCCGTGAAGATTCCGGGGTAGACCCATGCCTGCCGTAAAGGGTATATATGCTTGTCGTAAAAGGCGACTAACGGGATCGGGTGGTCAGGCTCGCTGACTTAGTTGATGCATGTCATCGATCTCAATTGCGTGGATCGATGCTCATGATATTAATTACTGGATTGTCTGGTCCAGACTCGATAATTTACAGACCACTGTCATATAGCTGGAATATTGCTGCGTGCGGCGTTAAACAACAAACCAACCAACCAACCAACCATTTAAATCTCTTTGATGGGTTTATCATGCTTACATGCAATTCAATTTTTATCATTATTTGTTTCTACAAGTAAAATGTTTACCTTTTCACAGCATGATCTTCCAGATGGCCAGTTGGTTCTTCATAAAAAAAACATATACTTCCTGTGAATGCTTTTTGCTGCATGAAGGTTTGTAGAACTGTATGCGAAGGTTATCAGTGTCTACTGATCTACCTACAACTACCCCCATCTGTCCAGGATTGTGGATGTGTTGACAGTTGACTACAACTCTTGGAATGGTTTGCCCTTGTGACTTGAGGATTGTTCTGGCAAATGAGAGTGCTATTGGGAATTGGTGTCTCTCAGCAAGAAGCTTCTGCTCTGCTCAACAGTACTGTAAATCAGTGAATGCTTCCTTCTTGAGTTTAATAACATCATTATGAAACTTAACAACTGGACCATCAATCTCAAGTTGTATGACAGTTCCTTCAAGTCCATTGACCAACTTATAAGAGAGATTCTTCAGAAGCATGAAAGGAGTTTTCACTTTGAGTGCAAGAACCTTATCAGCCTGGACCTTGTCAAAATACCTTTGGTTTCCTAAATCTTCAGATCAGTATACCACACAGTCACCTTGCATCTTCATCAATTCAGAGGAGTTGTGGATATGCACTTCCAATCTAGTACCATATAAATAGACAGGAGGGTCACCATCTGGTAGAGGGCGTGCCAATCCATACATCAGTGTGTTAGTATCCTGGCTAGGACAACCCTTTTCCAGCTCGTTAATGGCAGTTATCAGTCTATAATCTCCTTGCCGTTGTACCTCTGTTAGTTCAACCCTGTGAGTGATACTGGATTTCCAAACTGGCAATGTGAACACAAAGTGACCAGGATCTCTCTGTAAATCATTTGGGATGGGAGGACACTGGAAGAGTGAGTGAGTGAGTGATTTGGGTTTAACGCCGCTTTCAACAGTATTCCAGTTATATCGCGGCGTGTCAGCTTAATGTTGGAGGAAAGCCCAAAGTGATGCAGGTCTAAGACGTTTACCACTTCGGTGAAACCCACGAGCACGGGTATGGTGCTGACAAACCTAGAAACATAATTGGGGCGAACCGGGATTCGAACCCACAATCATAGGTTTCTGGCGTGTCCAAGGGACGCAACACAGCGAATCGCGGCGCCTTAGACGACTGGGCCACCCGTGCCCCCGACACTGGAAGAAGTCCCCAACACATACAACCTGAAGGTTTCCGAAGCATAGGCTTGGATCTCGTATGTTTCGGCAAAGAAACTCAACCTGAAATTAAGATGAACAGCCATCAGAACTAGTTTGCCATTATCATGATTATGATGCATTGTCATTTCATGTGAATGTGAGTTCCTTTTAATAATATTTATGGACATAGAATTTTCCCTTTATCGTTTTTCTCTTAATCTAATTAGTCAACATCTACATAATAAACTTAGGTAGTCTATCTTAAAAGTAATATATAACATGAACAATTAATAAAGAGTAGTGTAAGCGAACTCATATTTCCTTGGAATGATTGAAAAATGAATTAAGACTGTAGATTGATAATTACATATAGATCTCAATCTGTGTGAAAGTTACTGAATCTGCTGTTTTTTAACAATTTATAGATATCTACCTAGCTGAGTCAAATATTAGAACTTACCTGTTCAAACGTGTTTCTGCTGATCATGCTTATTTCATCGACAATAAGTACATCACATTTCCTTATTGCCTTATAGGTGTGCTTATGTTCGTCACTTTTTAATCTTCTCATAAGCTCGAAACTCGAGTACTTCCCATCACGCAAGCCTGCCCAGTGATGAAGTGTCGTGCCATGTTGATACTGGCGTGCAGCAATGCCTGTACTAGCAGTAATATGCACTGTTTTACCTTTTGCTGACAGTTGGTTGGTTTGTTGTTTAACGCCGCACTCAGCAATATTCCAGCTATATGACGGCGGTCTGTAAATAATCGAGTCTGGACCAGACAATACATGGATTAATATCATGAGCATCGATCCACGCAATTGGGATCGATGACATGCATCAACCAAGTCAGCGAGCCTGACCACCCGATCCCGTTAGTCGCTTTTTACGCCTTTTAGATTCTACCCCGGAATCTTCACGGGTCTTTTGCTGACAGTAAGTAGGAAACATGTTTTATGAGGGTCGTTTTCCCTGTCCCTGCTTGACCAATCAGAGCAAGATTGTGACCACTGACAATGATGTTTAGGGCTAAATGATGAGCAGCTGTATATACGAACATGTTTACAAGATGGGGCCATGCTTCGTGCTTCTATAAATAGTTCAACCAATGAGAAACGTTTGCTGCATTCAGCCCGTGTAGTGAGGTAACTTCCGTCCACCTTTTTCTGGTATACGTTGTCGGCGAAGCATAGAGTTGATATCCGATGGCTTTTTAAAAATAAATACGAGGTAATGTGACCACAGATGAACACGATTGTGTAGCCCATGGATTGTTTAGCAAGGAGCGATAGGTGGAAACAAGTGACATTTATATTTCATGCGATATCGAGCTGTGATTCGAACCGAGTGCCAAATCTTGAATAAGAACCTAGATGGCGGGTGTCACTCCTTGTCTCTATGTATATAGAGGGTTGTGATTTTTTTCTATACGAATATATTATGCTACACACGCTATCATCGAGTTCCTGTGGACTAACATGACTAATGAACCACGCAGTTGGTCAATTACATGTCTTTCCCACTCGATACTCATTTCTGCTAAGATTAAGACAGACACTCGTTGGGTATTGGGCAATCTTTCCAACATAGCTTATCAACATCCACGTAATGTGTAAAAAAACATTGCCATAGTGGCAGACGGAAATCACACTGAACATCTGCCCTAGATACTGACCACAACTGGGTTTCTTTGAAGTTGGAAACGTCTTAGACCTGCATTATTCGAGGCTTTCATATTTTAAGTTTACACACCCTGATATAATGGTGTTGATCCCAACTCACTCTCTCTAAAATACCACTTGGATTGAATGGGTGCGTGAGTGGACGATGGTTGAGCTTATCGCTACTTTGAAGGGTGTTTCAGTAATATCGTTGTGTGTCAGCGATGAGGGAGAATATTGTACTTCAGGGACACGTTCCACAAAGCAGCATAACTACGGCTACCATAAACCTCAGTTAAAGTATGGGAGTTACGATCATCCTATTGTCGCCATGTTGAATGGAGCCTAGGTCTTTTGAAACCGCTTATATCCCACGAAGATAATTCTACCCTCTGTTGATATTAAAAAAAACAAGTTATATATTTTGTACAGTCTTGAATTCGTTTTATCTGGGGATCATTAAGTACAAACTAAAGTCTCTACCAGGTTGATTAAGGTGGAAGCAGTTTTGGTTGTAAGCACATATCCCGCTGTTGACAAAAACACATAACACATAAGTTGAACACAGACATTCTTAACTCACTCAGATTCAATCGGCTCCATAACAACGTACAGTAAATGCCTGTCAAATCTTTTAGAAGCTGTTCTTCAGAATGAATTTGAATCAAGATATACTTACCGTTGATGTAGAAGATCCTGTAGATCATGTTCGTCCCTCCCCGGGCAAGGACGTTCTCGTGGTCATAGTCAACGTACTTGAAAAACTCCGTTGATGGTAATTTTATGATCATCCATATGCAACAAACACAGGCAGTAAACACGTGGGAGGGAAGAATATACTCAGCGTATACTCTGTGGCGTTAGTGGTTCACATTTAAGGTTTGTGTTTTAATCTAGGATTGAAAAGGTTAGAAGATTCATAAAAGAAAAGCTGAAGATAGAATAGGAGATAGTGTTTCCGAGTTTTACGCCTTGGACGTCTCAGCCCATCTCGAATTCGTGATTGTGAAGCAAGAACCAGACATAATAAACACTGATGAATCAGGCACAAAGTATTTAAACAGCAACAACGTATTGAGTATGGATTATTACAGGAACGATTATCTTAAGATGAAGGACGTGTTGAGAACCGTGGAAATAAATGTTAAGTCATTTACAAAAACAAAAGTATGTCTATCCACAATGGTAGATTTGGACAGAAGAATTGTATAGATCAAGTGACATGCAAGGGTACTAGTGTGATGGACTACCCCATACCATGCTATTCCCTACATATCCAACCTCCAGGTGTTTGAATTTGACTCTTTATCCTCAGATGCTCACTGTGCAATCTCACTTATCTACCGAAATAGTGTTACTAAAAAATAAACAGTGGCATTTAGAAAACGGAACAAACAACTTTAAAATGAATGCGGTGCCTCTATAAACATAAATGACATTAACTCAATGAATCAACATTTGGAAGAACTTAATTACCTAAATTATATTGTGGACAAACTGAGTGATACTTTTCTCACAGTTGCCGGGAAAACATTTCGTATATATAGTATAAGGAAAAAGGCAAATATAAAGCATGTGAAGACAAACAGGATATGGTTTGGTAAACATTGTACAACTGGAAGAGGAAAATATTACAAGGGTACTCGTGTGGCAAACTACTCCATCTCAACATATGATGATATATATATGACATATGATATTCGACTCTTTATATTCTCAGACGCTCACTGTGCAATCTCACTAACCCTGAATATAGCTACCACCAACATTCTTAATAAATGTGAAGACAATCAAACCATGATTTGGTAAAGGTTGTAAAACTGAAAACGGTAAATATTATGAAGGCAGATATAACAAGATAAAAACTGCTCAGAGTTAAATGGGGTAATCAATGCGAGCTGAACACATGAAACTGCTCCAGTTAAATGGGATCGCCTTCACAAGAACTCTTTTAATTTGGAAGAATGAAGACAAAGAAAATTAGCCAGATAAAAATGGTATCAACATTAATCTAAACTCCAGATATACAACTCTGAATTAACGTATAACCTCATCGGAAATAGCTACTGCTATGACTCAAAAACAACAAAGCTATTGATCTAAACTCCAGATATAGCACTCTGAATCAACGTATAACCTCATCGGAAATAGCCACAGCTATGGCTCAAAAACAACAAAGCTATTGGACTTGGTTATGTCAATAACGAATATATCTCCAGCACTGCCATGCTTATATTAAGGACTTTTGAACTCAACCTCAGCAAAATATTTCACACAGGACATTTCTGTAATGCATGGCTTCAATGGGCAATCGGATCTCTCACGTTAGTCAGCTGTATCCGTGGCATTCCGTCCTCGAGAAAGTTCAGAACAGAAAAGTTGTTTTCAGTTTGTCTACATATTCACCATTATAACAATATCCCTGTAATGCCAAACATGTCTATATTTTTCAATATGCGTGATGCACGTTGTGAAGGATAAATGGTATATAATAGGTATAAAAAAAGTTTATATGGTTAAGACCTTCACTCACGGTCAGTATCGTATTAATCAAAGACTTTGTAGAACTCGGAAACGTCAAGCTGTCCGTTGTTGTCCGCGTCGACTGTGTTGAAGGAAGTGATGATGATAGCAAGTATGTACGGAGTGAGTGAGTGAGTATGGTTTTACGCCGCTTTTAGCAATATTGCAGCAATATCACGTCGGGGGACACCGGAAATTGCGGGGTTGTCGTAGCTCCGGGTTGGGTGCTGAAAGTGAAAACATCTTCAACAGGAGGAGAACATCAAGGTTACAAAATTCACGGCCCCAGTAAAGCTTTGAAAATGTTTGGTGTTTGACATGTGGAGTGGGGGACATTTGTCTTATACCATATGTTCCCATGTGGTTTCAGTCAGGTGAACAATTGACTTGCCTTTGCACGTGTTTGTTTCAGGTGCCACCTGTTCGGGCATGATACGCTTATCTTTCCGCAAACACCTGGTATCATTACTATTTGATAATGATTAATAAAACACCTGGTGTCATCACTATTTGATAGTGATTCATAAAACAGCTGGTGTCATCACTATTTGATAGTGATGCATAAAACACCCGGTGTCATCACTATTTGATAGTGATTAATAAAACACCTGGTGTCATTACTATTTGATAGTGATTCATAAAACACCCGGTGCCATCACTATTTGACAGTGATGCATAAAACAGCTGGTGTCATCACTATTTGATAGTGAATCATAAAACAGCTGGTGTCATCACTATTTGATAGTGATTCATAAAACACCCGGTGCTATCACTATTTGACAGTGATGCATAAAACAGCTGGTGTCATCACTATTTGATAGTGAATCATAAAACAGCTGGTGTCATCACTATTTGATAGTGATGCATAAAACACCCGGTGTCATCACTATTTGGTAGTGATGCATAAAACACCCGGTGTCATCACTATTTGATAGTGATTCATAAAACACCTGGTGTCATCACTATTTGATAGTGAATCATAAAACACATGCGCATGATACAGTTGGACATTTGGCTGAGTTAGTTGAACATGGAAAGAGTTTTGCTCTTTTATTAGGATGACACAACTTAATTCCTTCAGGAGACACAACATGCAAACACTTACATGTATGTTGGAAAACCGAGCGTACCTGCCAAGAGCGTCAGCACAGTAATACTTAGCATTCTGAAAATAATGATAATTGATATTCACAAAGCTGTTAAATGCTGGGTAGGTTACTTGGTGTATTAGCCATTGCCAATTTGAAGTGAATGAGTGTGGTTTTACGCCGCTTTTAGCAATATTCCAGCAATATCATGGCGGTGGACTTCAGAAATGGGCTTCACACATTGTACCCATGTCGGGAATCGAACCCGGGTCTTCGGCGTGACGAGCGAACGCTTTAGCAACTAGGCTACTCGACCGCCCCGCCAATTTGAAGGAATATAATGAAGAAACTTTGGCTGAAGGCAGTCAGGGACACACTGCAAACGTAACCAAACACAACCATGATACCCGTATCCAATACATTGCCATGGTATCCATTTCTTGTTTTACCCAACACCAGGCATGGGTGTATACTTTCCCTTGCCCAGCAGGGGAAAGCTTGACAGTAGACATTTTATCACAAATAAATGTACATACATTTACATATACACGAAGAAGGTTCATCCTCGCTAGTCTGTGATTTTATGTCTTGTGAACCCAAGAAGGTATTACCGATTATTTGTTTGAATTAAGAGTTTTAATGACTACTTTGTAATTCGATTTCTTTGCAAAAGATCATAGCGTTTTGTTCAGATCACATTGGTTTTCACAACTGTGAGATGTGACATAATATCGCATCGATCAATCCAAATTGCCTGTCATTGCAAGAATTGGCAGGTTCAAATATCGGAAAGTCATACAACCAATGTTTCTACCATTAACAGCATAGCTAATCCAATACACGCTGTCAGGTACGATGACACGCAATCAACCAAGTCACAGCTTGAACAACCGATCCATTAAGTTGACTCTTACAACCAGCACAGGTTACATGGGAACAGTTCTTACCCGACTTCATCAGGGTTTTGTTATGCTTTAACATTTATGGCGCGGTGAGGTAGCCTAGTGGTAAAAGCGTTCGCTCGTCACGCCGGAGTTCCGCCTTCGATTCCCCAAAAGGGTACCGTGTGTCCAGTCTCACTCTCCCAATTAACATACGGGCAGGATCAGGTAAAACGATTGACTTACTTGTTCAGAAAATGTTTTCGGGATAGTGAAACACATTTACCCCTTGTGGACATTATATAGGTTTAATGTGATAAGATAAGGTTATTTTTCAGATCGGAATGTTGCACTTTTCCTTGCTCGCTTGCTAACTCGTGTTTTGGTATAAGGAACATTGTGCTATCTCTGCAGTGGTATTTCAGTGTTGTGGAAAAATGCAACCTGTTTGGTTGTGGATGATACGAGTCATGACATTTTTAGGAGTGGTGTGATTAGACAGGGATGTAATGTGTGAAAGTTTTAGATTTTAACTAACACACATATGTATATAATATATATGCAGGACAGGGTAGAGAGGCCACTCATTAATTACAGGAGAACTCGCAGTCATTCTCTTAATGGGTTCATAAGATCATTATTGATGTAGAACATTGATCTCAATTGCAAGACTATGTAATGCGCAGGCAGAACAGAAACGATTGTAAATTAAGGGCCCTTGTGTTGATAAATGTTGTCGAGAGATCTTAGAGGGATACAAAAGTTTTTTTATGACCAATAAAATTAAGCAAGCATGATGTCGTACCTATTTTGCATTCTGAACCTATGTGTGCTGGCCGGGCAGTTTAAGGAGCCGGATTTCGCTGTACAGGCTTGCACCCATGAACACGCCAAAAATCTATGGTCGTTGGTTCAAATCCCGATTATTTGTCTAGGTTTGTCAGCACCATTTCGTTGATTTAACCAAATGGTAAATGTCTGAGACCTGCATCACTTCGGGAATACCTTCCCCATCAAGCTGACACATCCGCGAATATAAGAAGGTAAGTTTTTAAAAAATAACTTTATTTGTTCCCGAAAATGACTGAACAAATTAATTTGTTCTCAGGTTTGACCACCAACATAAATATCATGACTCAAACACACATAATGTTCACTGATAAGGCTGATTCTGTCAGCTAACATACTTTATTTTCTTTCACCCACAACATATCTATTGTATGATTTAATCTTGATAAATATACAGCCAATGTTCATATAAGACACCCGGTTTTTTTTTTCTTTTCACACATTGACATGTATGATCTCTCGCGTTTAGAATGCTGTTTTCTGTTGTGTTTCTAAGGTAATGAACTAATTGTATTTTTCGGGGAAACGTCCGCCACTAGCCGTACTAGCCGACCGCTTCCGTCGTCTAGCGGCAGAGCGCCCGCCGACGAGAGCGGGAGGTCCGGGGTTCGATCTCCGGCCAAGGGAGGTTAAAAGACGGTACTTGTTGCTACCCTGTCTGGCGCTCGGCATTAAGGGGCTAAAACAAGGACTGGTCGGCTCGGATACAGAATACTGTGTCTGAGTGGGGTATTCATGTTAAGCTGCAGCATGGTATCTCAGTGAGCTAGCACTATAACTCGGCATCAGTCCGAACTAGTACAAGCAGCCACACACACGTGCATGCACGTCGCTATATAAGTGCAATAATCTTGGACGCGACGTTAAACCCCTTTTCACCTCACCTATCTCTTCTTTATTTTCTTATTCAGATTTACCATGAACTATTTAAACGACCTGTATATGTGCACCAGGTGAGTCATGACAGAGTTTCCTCTGACGTACAATGAAGAGGATTCTTTTGAAAAAACTCAATATGGAAATTATCATTTGTCCCCAGATAATCAAACATATAAAAACATAAGTTCAAAGATCATTCTGCAAAATGCGTTTTCAGTTACTAATGCTTTTATCTGCTACATTTATCAATTGTGTTTGTAAATATTCCGTATTCTCTTTTACAAAAAACAAACTTCAAATTTAGCTGACTGTATCCAGCATATATCAACCTAAAATGACATCTTTGACCATATCAGAGTTAGGAGATGCTTGGTTCATGTATACCTTGACAATTCTGTTTACACTAATGTGTATGCCAACAGTTATCCCCGCATTAACAGCTACTTTCCTAAAATCACTAATTGAAGAACATTCTAGAAAATATGTTTTTAATATATAAGATTAAGGATGTTTTTCTTATGCTGCTCCTTTCAATTGTGTTTGGAAAGTCTCTGAAATGTTCCGTTATTTTCTTTTAACTTTTAATTTTCTGAAACTAACATCTTTGACCAGATCAGCGTTAAGGAATGATTGGTTGATGAATACTTTGACAATTCTGTTCACACTAATGTGTATGCCAACAGCTATCCCTGCATCAACAGCATCCTACTGTGGACAAATGGGTTCACACTTCAGGATAACCCCAAATCCGGTGTGGAATAAAGACTTCAACTTGAACATTTCTTTTTTCTGAACCTGGACCATGAAGACCAGTGGTTGATAACATGAGCAATGAACAGTTGGTGTGCGATACCACACAAATAGCCATATCACATGACGAACCCACGCGATTCTCACTTCAGCCAAATTTATGACAAACACGCTTTGGGTATTGTATAATATTTCTCGTAACTTGAGTTATCAACCCCCTTCAAGTAATGAGTCAAAACACATTGCCATATTGGCTGACGGAAATCACACATCTCCCCTAAATACTGACTAAAACTGGGTTTCCTTGAAGTTTGAAACGTCTAAGATCTGCATTATTCGAGGCTTTTTTTCTTATTTTAAGCCGACACTCCCTGTTATAACGGTGTTGAACTCTAAAAATACCACTTATATTGATTGGGTGCGGGAGTGATCGAGGGTTGGGTTTAACGCCACTTTGAAGGGTGTTTCAGTAATATCGTGGTGTGTCAGCGATGAGGGAGAATGACGTTCTTCAAGGTCGCGTTCCACAAAGACACATATATTATCTACGGCTATCATAAACCTATGTGAAAGTATGGGACATATGATCATCCTAGCCCTATGGTTGTTTTGTGGAACGGAGCCCAGGTCCTTCGATACCGCTTATATCCCACAAAGATAATTCTCATCCTCTTTTGATATTACAAAACACAGTTGTATTTTGTACAGTCTTTATTCCTCTTTATCTGGGAATCATTAACTACAAAACTAAAGTCTCTCCACAGTTTTATTCAGGTGGAAGCAGCTTTTGTTGAATCCACATGTGCCTCTGTTGACAAAACACACAACACATAAGTTGAGCACAGACATTCTTAACTCACTCAGATCCAATCGGCTTATTCCGCTACGCGATATCACGGGTAGCAGTGGAGTAGTGACATTGCACGATTTCACTTTATACAGTATATAGACCAACACCTTCTGTACATCAGAACCGTCCATTTTGCAACAAGTGTCTTTTATGGTCAATAGAAGTTAGTATATGATTTTATATCTTGCAACATTGATATAAACTCTTCAAAAAAAAAATAAACGCACAGGGAGTATGTAGTTTATTGAACCTGACTACACACAAAATCCGGTATATAAATTGCACATATGTTATTGGAAAATGTTGGTGGCCTGATATTCGACAAACGGTTCGTCAAAACGCAGCCATTATCGATTTGCAATATCATAAACGGCATTGTTTTCACACTTGTTCTAAAATGTCTTGGGGAAAAACAATAACGCAAAATGCACGTGTAAGTTATCGCATTCGTAACTCGTGGTAGTAACTATAAAAAGGCAAGCATAAGCCAATAATTTGTCATTCAATTGTCGATATTTTTCAAGTTCGAAAATGCCGAGACTCAGCGCTGCCGGTCGGACATAGTATCTTACTTAGTACCCCAAATTCTAAATGTCTCCGAAAGAAGTCAAACTTGTTGCCATGGAAGCAGGAAAATATTATTTTGTAAAATTCCTAAATAGCAAAAGGCACGATTTCAGCCCTTGATTAATACATGTGCCAAATTTGGTTGAGTAGGTCTGCTCCGGAAATGACACCTAACCCCGTTTCAGCTGAGTCTAACTTGTTTCCATGGGAAGATGGGAAAATATAGAAATATTCCTAAATAGCAAAAGGCACCACTTCAGTCCTTGGTAAATACATTTACCAGGTTTGGATGAAACGTCTTTCAAAGCGATCAATTTGTGCTACTGAAACGACACCAATCACCAGCCTTTTGAGATTAAGAACTAATTGTTTCCATGGAAACCGAGAAAAATAAGAATGCCAAAAAAAACCACTTCAGGATCTGTTTGATATATCTGCGAAGGTTTGTTAAAAGATATTGAACCGTTTTTTGAGTGGTGCTCCGAAAACGAAATCCACCAACTATGAGACAATGCCAAAAATCGGTAAATAGTACAAGGCACCACTCCAAGACCTGTTTTATATATCTTCCAATTTTTGTTCAAAAATATTGAACGGTTTTCGAGTTATGCTCTGGAAACGAAATGATCACGGAACCTGTTCCTGAACATGCTGGAAAAATCATTTGTCCTCAGGTTATAATACAAATTCGTTTGAGCTCAGTTATTAAAAATATTCATTTGAACTCAGGTTAATAAACACATTCGACCCGTGAAGATCCGGGATAGAATATATCTTCAGCAACCCATGCTTGCCGTAAAAGGCGACTTTGCTTGTCGTAAAAGGCAACTAACGGGATCGGGTGGTCAGGTTCGCTGACTTGGTTGATGCATGTCATCGTGCCGTAAAAGGCGATTATGCTTGTCGTAAGAGGCGACAAACGGGATCGGGTGGTCAGGCTCGCTGACTTGGTTGATGCATGTCATCGGTCCCAATTGCGTGGCTCGAGGCTCATGATGAGAATTACTGGATTGTCTGGTCCAGACTCGATACACATATTATCATATTGGCAGACGGAAAACACACTTAACCTCTCCCCTCGATTAGAATCACCCATATTTTTTTTCTGAATTTGGAGACCTGCATAACTCGAGGCTTTCTTCTTATATTAGCTGACACTCTCTGATTAGACGGTGTTGAACCAAACTCACTCACTCTAAAATACCACTTAGATTGAATGGGTGCCTGAGTGAACGAGGGTTGGGCTAACGCTACTCTGAAGGGTGTTTCAGTTATATCGCGGCGTTTTAACGATGAGGGAGAATGGAGTGGAGCAGGGTCATGTTCCACAAAGCGACATAGCTACGGCTATCATAAACATACACGTGTGTTAAAGTATGGGACTAATGATCATCCTAGCCCTATGATTGCTTTGTGACACGCAGCCCAGGTCCTTTGATACAGCTTAGATCCCACGGGGATAATTCTTTCCTCTATTGATATTACAAAACACAGTTGTATATTTGTATATTCTTTATTCGCCTTTATCTGGGGATCATTAAGTCCAAACTAAAGACTCTCCACTGGTTGATTCAGGTGGAAGCAGCTTTGGTTGTATGTACATGTGCCTCTGTTGACAAAACACACAACACATAAGTTGAGCACAGACATTCTTAACTCACTCAGATCCAATCGGCTTATTCCGCTACGCTTTACCTCGGGCAGCAATGGAGTAGTGACATTGCACCATTTCACCAATGCATATAGACCGACCCCTCCACGTATGGGTCGTACATCAGGGTCGTCCATTTTGAAACAAGTTTCTTTTATAGTTGACAGAAGTTGGTTTTATGATTTAATGTCTAGCAATATCGGCATAAGTGTCACAAATTCTCACCATATTGAGTTTTTGTTAAGTGATAGCCATGTGAACAAATGAAATTAGTGACTTTGGTTTGCGATTCATGTCAGTGTATCTATATGTAATCCTCCCAATGCCTGTTCCATCACCTATGTATATACTATTGATTAAGTTAGTTACCCTTGAAGATCCGGGGTAGAATAGGTCTTCAGCAACCCATTTCTGCCGTAAAAGGCGACTATCGGGATCGGGTGGTCAGGCTCGCTGACTTGGTTGATGCATGTCATCATGTCATAATTGCGTGGATCGATGCTCATGATGTCAATAACTGGATTGTCTAGTCCAGACTCGATTATTTACAGACCGCCGTCATAGAGCTGGAATATTGCTGAGTGCGGCGTAAAACAACAAACAAATCGATTAAGTAAGTGTGTGATTATATCCTACAGATGCAGCAATACCGTGCCAAGAATTACCAACATTAGTCTCTTGTATGTACGAATCAATCTTTCCTTGTCAGTTTGAACTTTCATATTTACTCACGGTGGCTGTGGTGTTGAAGGTCTTTAATTACGTGCTGGTAAACCTAAATAGGAAAATATACACGCGTCAAGGACATAGTATAATATTATTTATTATACATAAATTATGGGTTTAAAAACACATCCTATCCAGATATTCTCTGCTCAAAGCATGTAGTCATATGCTCTTTTGAAGACGATAATCTTGAGAGGTTATTGCAAGCTGCTGATATCCTAGGATCTAGTGACATCCACTCATTCCATCGAGCAGCGCCAGAACTGCTACAGGTCCTGTTTCCATACATTGTTGTTCGGGCTGGTCTCGCCACCATCAGTGCAGATCGTATGTTCATATATCTACTGATTTGTCTGTTATTCCATATCTCATTGTATACACTTTTGCTGATGTCATTCACATGGTTTCTCAACTGAATGTTGAATCAATGATCATGCCCAGATTTCTTGCGCGACTAGTTGGTTGAACCATACAGTCCCCAACTCGCACACTGGGAAGTTGAACCCTGGGATGCATTAGTTTTGAACTGATGATCAAAATGTCAGGTGGAATATAACTAGACTGAATGAAACCAAAATGTGTATCTCACTTTCTTACCGTCTTATATTCGTGGATATATTCTCTGATGGTGATGGTACCGTCGTCTTAAAATATGAAAAAGAGCAAATGCAGGATTATTTATAGTAAATTTCGGCTTTTGTGCTCGGGTAGCCACTTATATTTTGTTTGGAAGCAGACAAATACCTGGTAGTAAACTGTGGGACAATGTAGTCAATGGCCTAAGTAACCATTTCTTCAAATAAACGTTAGGGCCCGTTACACAAAGACTCCTCAGCACTATGGCTGGTTATCTATATAAACAATGTTATGTGCTGCCAAGACATGGTCTCAATTTCAAAAGGGTTAAAACTAAATAAGTATTTACAAAATGTTTAAGCCTGTGTTGATACTTATTATTTCAAGATTGCATTTTGCATTCGATTGCGAATGTCCTAAGTCCCTTTCTTCTTTCATTTCTTTTCATCAATGAATTGATCACTAAAATTAAATCTTCATGTACAAATAATATGCAACTGCTTCCTGATCTTGTTGAAATATTTGTATTTCTCGTTGCTGATGACTTGGTATTATTGATATACTTGGTTATTTTACTCAAAAGAAAAATGGAAAAATCAATTTATTGTTAATTGCATTCAGAAGTTAATCTTGAGAATACCAAATGTCTTGTTTTACAAAGGGTGCCAATTTATCTTGTCTTTGTGCATCAATTTATACAAATTTGAAGTGGCATAAACCAGCAGAACATGTAAGCCAACACTATCCCGTCGATGTAAATTAGAACAATTGTCATACGATGCATATTTTAAAATATTTTATTGTTAGACACTGCCCATTCTAGTGTGCTGATAGAGGGTCATCATAAACACGAATGTTCAGAAAAGTTCTAAATTGGAATAATGCTGAGTGTAGCGTTAAACAACAACAAACATGACAAGAATTGGGTATTGTGGACTAGAGGTGCTAAGGTGACTGACCATACAACGAGGAGTCTAGCTAAATGAAAATTACTCCTCAAGTGTAACAGTTGATCAGAGTGAATATGACCATTAATATCAGTAACCAGTATTTCAAGAACATTTTCAAGAACCGCATATAGACCAACTAAATGTACCTGTGATTGCAATGTAACAACGAAAATATAGCATATGCTACTGAAATAAGGTCACCATTACCTACATGTATACCCTTATTATTAGTTTGGCATCATTTGTCATAAATATGAACAATGGCAAGCATATACACCTACATTGTGACTGTGACGCAGGTCATTACCGTCCTGTCCAGAGGACAGACCCGCTCCAAGTATGACATGTTGGTTGGTTGGATTGTTATTTAACGCCGCACTCAGCAATATTCCAGCTATATGACGGCGGTCTGTAAATAACCGAGTCTGGACCAGACAATCCAGTGATTAATATCATAAGCATCGATCCACGCACTTTGGATCGATGACTTGTATCAACAGTCAGCGAGCCTGACCCCCCGATCCCGTTAGTCGCCTTTGTCGGCAAGCATGGGTTGTTGATGACCTATTCTGCAGACTGAATTTGAAACAAGATATACTTACGGTCAGTGTCGTAGATCCTGAAGACCCTGTTTGTCTCTCCCCGGGTAAGGACATTGTCGTGGTCATGGTCAACGAACTTGAAAACCTCTCTCGCAACGGCCTTGTTAGTATGAGTGCCATGCACGTACTCATGGAGGGTCAGTTTATGGTCATCTACAGGCAACAAACACGTATGAGGGGAGAATATACTCAGCGTGTACTTTGTGACGTTAGAGGTCCGCATTTATAATTAAGTGTTGCATTTTAATGTGGGATTGGAAAGAAATTTTATGAAGCTGAAGATAGAAGATGAAATAATGTTTCAGAGTTTAACGCCATGGACCGCTCCGCCAATCTTGAAATCGTGATTGAAAAGCAAGACCCACATATAATGAACACTGAAGCATTCACAAAATATTTGAACAGCAACAATGTATTACATGAACGATTGTCTAAAGACGAAGGACGTCTTTACCACTATGAAAGTAAAAGTTGAGACATTTGCAAAAACATAAGTATGTCTATCCACAATGGTAGAATTGGACAGAACAAATGTATAGATCAAGTGACATGCAAGGGTACTAGTGTGATGGACTATTCCATACCATGCTATTCCCTACATATCCAACCTCCAGGTGTTTGAATTTGACTCTTTATCCTCAGATGCTCACTGTGCAATCTCACTTATCTACCGAAATAGTGTTAATAAAAAATAAACAGTGGCATTTAGAAAATGGAACAAACAACTTTAAAATGAATGCGGTGCCTCTATTAACATTAATGACATTAACTCAATGAATCAACATTTGGAAGAACTTAATTACCTAAATTATATTGTGGACAAACTGAGTGATACTTTTCTCACAGTTGCCGGGAAAACATTTCGTATATATAGTATAAGGAAAAAGGCAAATATAAAGCATGTGAAGACAAACAGGATATGGTTTGGTAAACATTGTACAACTGCAAGAGGAAAATATTACAAAGTCAGATGTAGAAAAAAACCCAGCTCAGTATAAAATGGGGTAATCAATGAGAACAGAAACACATGAATCCCCTTCCCAGAGACATTTTTCAACAGAAGTTAAACAATGTCCATAAGAGCGACAGTAAATTATTTTGGAAACTGTTAAAGTGAGCGTTGAAAGAACGTCGAATATGGATAAACTATTTTTTATTTGGAAGAATGAGAAAAATGAAAATGCGCAGTATATAAATGATATCAACATTAATCTAAGCTCCAGATATACAACTCTGAATCAAGGTATAATCTCATCGGAGGCAGCCACTGTTATGACTCAACATAGCGATTGGAAATGATCATTAACGAATATACATCATTATGTTAAGAACCTATGAACTGCTTCTTAACAAAATATTCGACACAGGACATCTCCGTAATACATGGCTTCAAGGAAGAATCAGTTCAATTTAAAAAAAATATAGGCTAATACAAAACCTTAGAGAATAACCGTCCTGTTACCTAAGTCAGCTGTTACCGTGACATTCAATCATCGAGTGAGGTCAGACCAGAAAAAGCTGTATTCAGTTTGTCTATATATTTACCATTATAACAACTTATTCAATATACCTGTAGTGCGAAACATGTCTAGAGTTAATGACTCTTAATATGAGTGAAGTTCTTTGTGAAGGCTAAATGGTATCTAAGAGAAAAAACAACTTTCATTTAGATAAGAACTTCACTCACGGTCAGTGTCGTATTTATCAAAGATTTTGTAGAATTCGGACACTTCAAGTTGTCCGTTACTGTCCGCGTCGACTGCGTTGAAAGAAGTAGTGATAATAGCAAGCAGGTCCAGGGTTGTCGAAGCTCCGGGTTGGGTGCTGAAAGTTGAATGTTGACGAAAATCTCCAGCGGGAGGCGAATATCTAGGTTACAGCACTCAATGCCCCAATAAAGATTTGAAAATGTTTTATGGTTGACATGTGGAGTGAATGACATTTAAATTGTACCCTATGCTCCCACATGCATGTTGCCCCAGTCAGGTGAACAATTGACTTGACTTTCGTATGAACATAGAGAACATGGAAAGAGTTTGCGCTTTTATTAGGATGACACAATTTAATCCCTTTAGGAGACACAACGTGCAGCACTTACGTTGGAGCACCTAGCGCACCTGCCAAGAGCGTTAGCACAATAATACCCAGCATTCTGAAAACAAAAAAATAATTGATACTCACAAAGCCCTAAAGTGATGGCTTGGTTACTTGGTGTATTATCCATTAGAAGGAAGGAAATGAAGAAACACGTATATGTCAGCAGTAGATCGACAAGAACAAACGAGACATTCATTAAAGTATGCATCGTTACAAAAGTAAGGTAAATGTTACAGATCCACAACAAAACAAAATAGAATAAAGCTAAGAAATACCTAGCATAATTCATGAACTACTACAAAGATGATCAAAGCATTTAATTTAAGCACATTATCACAATTTATGATACAGGCCAATTTGTATTTGAGACAAGTTATCCCAAACGACAATCTTATAATAAGCGAATACTTAATTCCTTGATCCATGGACAAGTGTCTCTAAACATGGCGACCATAGATATATTTACATCAGAATCTTTAACAGTTCGAAACAATTTGTCAAAATTGAACGCAAATTTCATCTGGAGTTTACAAAGGAAACACTATGCGAAATTCGGGATTTCCTCAAAGATAAAATCTATGTGACTGCTTACATCATATTTCCTACGGTTTTTGAAACGTTTACATCGCTTTTATGTACAAAATGCCGATATCAGCCTACAAGTAAACAAATCTGGTCCGAATCGAATACATCGCCATCCGATAGCAATTCCTAGTTTTACCCACCATCAAGCATGGGTGTATACTTTCTTTTGCCGACAGTTTGTGCTTGACAATGAACATTTCATCACAAATGCAGGTACATACATTTACAAATACATAAAGGAGGTTCATCCTCGTCCGTCTGTGACTTTATGTCGAGTGAACTCGACCGATTGCCGATTTTGGGTTTAAATTAAAACAAACCCGTTTCGATGACTACTTTGTTGTCCCATTTTTGAGGAGTGACAAGTGAGGAGTGACTATCCAAGCGTCAGCAATATGTGACCTTCTCACGGTCACATACTGCAACGAAAACACGTTAACCCGGGGACGCTGTCTTCAATGTGTATATCAGATGACTGAGTGTGTGATTTGTTTGTTTGTTGTTTAACGCCGCACTCGCAATATTCCAGCTACATGTATATGACGGTGGTCTGTAAATAATGGAGTCTGCACCAGACAATCCATTAACTATCATCATGAGCATCGCGCAAATGGGATATGATGACATGCATTAACTAAGTCAGCGCGCCTGACAACCCGACCCCGTTGGTTACCTATACGACAAGCATAGTCGCTTTTTTATGGCAAGCATGGGTTGCCATAGACCTAATCTATCCCGGATTGTCACGCATCTTTTAACAACTGTGCAATGTGACACAATATCGCATCGACCATTCAGAATTGCCTACAATTGCTAGAATTTGCAGGTTCAATTATCGGGTAATCATACAACGAATGTTTCTACCATTAACTTAATAGCCAATCCAATACACGCTGTCAGGTACGATGACACACAATCAACCAAGTCACAGCTTGACCAACCGATCTATTAAGTCGACTCTTACGAACAGCACAGGTTACTTGGGAACATTTCTCACCCACCGTCATCAGGGTTTCGTTATGCTTCAACATAAATGGTCCAGTGAGGTGGCATAGAGATCAACGCGGTCGCTCGCCACCCCAAACGCCCGCGTTCGATTCCCCCACATGGGTACAACGTGTCAAGTCCATTTCTCGTGTCCCCCACCATGATATTGCTAAATCAGCGTAAAACCATTCTCAGTCACCCACTTAACAGTTACACAATACACATACTCCTCATACATGTACACACTACACATGTACACCGCCTTTGTAGCACATAGTTTCACGCAGTGAGGCTATACAGGCAGAATCAGCTAAAACGATTTACTTACTTGTGTTCAGACAATGTTGTCGGGAAAGAGAAAGACATTTACCCCTTGAGGACATTATAAAGGTTTTTATTTGATAAGATAAGGTTATTTTCAGATCGGAATGTAACAACAGTGTCAGTGGGACAGTTCGTGTTTTTTTCACGAGACATTTTTCATGACTCTTGCTCGCTTGCCAACACGTGTTTTGAAATAAGGAAAAATGTGCTATCTCCGATGTGGTATGACAGTGTGGTGGAAAAATGCAACCTGTTTTGTTGTATACCAGACGAGTCATGCCATGTTTAGGAGTGGTGTGATTAGACAGGAATGTACTGTGTGAAAGGTTAAGATTTTTACCACGCTTACGACAATTGTACAAGTCTCTGTAAAAACTCTGATCAGTTCTGAATTGAAAAAGGCAACATTACCTTATGTGCAACAAGGAACAGTTCAATTATGATATCTATTAATGGTGTAGTTTTGATCCCTCCAATGGCAATTACCTAATACAAAACAAACTATTACAAGGATGTGTCTATTTACTGACGCTATTCCCTTGTGGGGGAATCAAACCCGGGTCTTCAGCGTGACGAGCGAGACTTTAGCCACTAAGCTACCCCACAATCACTTGTTAAACCAAAACAGATTTGAATACTAGTGTGAGAAAAACGATTGCAAATACTTTATCTTCCATTGTACAATATATGCATTTGCATGCTGATTAGTTGTAGTTGGGAAAGTGAAAATAATCTTCCCTAACATCTTGGATTCCTGAAATATGCTTTATGTTCACAGGAACTCCAAAAGAATATCTAAGAACCAGTAAAATACGGAATATCATTTTGGTACAAACACCGTCACAAACACTGACCTATTAAAAGAAAAATGATCACAATTATGCTCAAAAATCTTGCCTGAGACTTCAAACAAACAGAATATAAAGTCTAACCTTCGTGTGCTTCGTTACTAAAATTCTAGGCTCCTATTAAAATTTCGTTTTTGACTACTTTTGATATCCCTCAACCTAAAACCTATACTGAAACTACAATTCACATTTGACCAGCTTGTACGTGTTTCGAAAAAGTCTGTGTATTACTTTAATTCTCATTTGACTGTATCTTTACAGGTTGATCTTAGAGCCATAAATTAGGCCAGTATTTCTTATCTACTACTCGCTCAGAAATGCTTTATTATCTTTCTCAACCGCTTCTCATAGAGTAAATATATTCAGTCGGCGGATACCTATAAATCACTAACCTATCACACAAGAGTGATATGAATTTGTATTTATAACAGTACACATATTTTATTCACAACATGACGCTATAAACTAACCTACTGGCATCTCAGCATGAGTAAAGTGTAAAGTATCATGCAAGTATCACTGAACGGGTGTTGGAGAAGCTGAACATACAATCTGTCTGCGAGACAATGCCTGAAGCCTGCAACATAGCATGTCGAGACAACACTTTGGTATTTCTCCAATTCATTGATTTGACGTTACAGTCTCCACTTAATAATCGCCCAAAGTCAGCCTAACATGTTCCAAAATATATCATACCTTGGTAAAAGAATCCCAAAAAACATTCTAAAGTAATGGACAGATGCAAGCAGTTATGAAGTGAACCACAATACACTTCTACTAATTGGATTATTCAAGTTGCCATGTAAAAAGGTCACTTCGGTAAAACGGAAAACAAAAGGCTTTTAAAAAAACGCTTCAAGGCTTGCGCTGTCTCAGCATTGAGGCACTACTACGTCTGGTCTTATTAAATCACTTCTGAGAACAGATAAATTTCTGCAGAAGCACGTAACGCCAGAAATCTCACAGCTCTTGTTCAGTTTGTTTTACAATCACAAGTGGCCGACCATTTGATATTCGAGGGCAGGGACTGGGATTTTGGGAGACAATTTATTTTCGCAAACAAGTGCAACTCTGCACAGCGAATCGCGGCCTCTCGGACGACTGGGCCACCCGTGCCCCAACAAACAATAGGAGCCTGAAGTAACGACTAGAGAGTATAGTTCTTGACATTGTTGTGAAACGTTTGGCCAAACCAGAAACAGACTCAGCCAAAGACCCTGTGTTTGTTAATTGAATTTGACTTTGCAAACAAGGGAGTTGGTGCCTTAAATTTGAGTAATATTCTCATACAATTTATTTTCCTACACGAACACCATTTAATACGTTTTGTTCCTACACGAACACCATTTCATACGTTTTGTTCAATTATAGAAACACGTTGCAGAACATGCAGCTCGAGATGTACATTCAACTACTTGTGGCTGCCCAGACTCATCATACTGCTACCAACCTGTAGGTCATATAATCAAAGGTGACTTCTATGATGTTGACAATAACAACCTTCCTCAGTTATTCAAATATGGACAAAAATGTCGCGGGCAGCCTCCAAACAATTGGGATCACAACGGATACTGTGGAAGTATATGCCACAAATACGCCAGAAGAGAAGAGGTACCTGTTGAATGTCTTTCAGAGTGGGTTAAGTCAGTTCGTGATGGTGTCCTTGTTTTATGTTCAAACTGAAAGAGATAAAAATGAATTGGAATAAACCTTTTCTGTCCCAGACAGTTGTCATCCAAACTTTGGTGAGCCTACATGAACAGTTTGTAGTTGTTCCCACTGACAAGGCCTAAAATAACATAGCCATTGTGTAAGCATCACTACATTAATTGTTTGATCAAATAACTCAGTGGAAGTGCGACATATCAAAATAATGCCACATATAAGGCCAGCATGTTAACTGAGGAAGAAATCTGCCAAAACCATGCATCAGTACAATCAGCTTTGGATTTGACTCTAAAACCTGAAGTCATCTCCCTTTTTCTTCTGTTCTTGATTCTAAAGCTCTATGAAACCCATACAAAGAGCGATATGTTGCTGGGTCAAGCAAATCTACCACTACATCCCTGTCTCGAAGTTTAACCATAATCCTAAGTACAACGAAGGGAGGACTTCCACGGATGTACCCACCTGAACATTAAAGGAGACCAGAGAGAACACCTTACATATTTCATTCAGATCTATGCATAATGTCCAAGACTGTATGGCAAGGGATGACTTCAACTTCCCAATAGTCAACTTTCCTTTTCTGTCGAGCAGTGTTCCAGCAGCTCAATCCTTTGGTGTGTACATTTCACAGCTTTTTCAGGTACAATCGGGCATACTCCTTGTACCAAGTTTTTAAAGAGCGCCATACGACTAAGACGTTGTTTGATCAAGGTTACAACATTCAAGGCCTCAGTAAAGCTTCCAAAAAGATTTATGGTAGGCATGTGGAGTGGCGGGCATTTCCAAATTTTACACGTCAGTGACTTGTACCATATGTTTTTTCAGCAGATAAACAATTGCAGGATACGTTCACCTTTTCGCGAACACCTCGTATTATCACTATTTGATAGTGATTCATAAATACGTGCGAATGATAGTCGGAGTCGTTCAATTGACAAGACTTTTGGCAGGGATTTCGTACGATTTCGTCGCCTTTATTTGAAAATACTTCTGTTTACGGGTTTTTCGCAAACATTAAGTTAACGCATTATGATATGAACAAAGATACCAAAATATAATTAATCTATTGATTAATCTGAACAGGAAACATAAATTAGACTTGATAACCTAAAATAGGAACAATTACTTTCCATACAAACCCCCACGTCCAGTTTGAGGGATGAAGTGGATTGACAATGATGAATATAATCATGGAATATGCACCTCAGGTATGCGTACTTATGATGACACTTATATTGGTTAACACCCAGTCGGTGACGGGAGACTTCACGATATCTGGAAAATGGATTGCCGAGTCAGAAAGGAGAGGGCCTACACCTCTTAACACCTCTTTAGTTTGGTGCTTCGTCCTGTCTGCCTTGACGAGAATAGACGAACAGTACTACATCTATGAACAGACGTCTTGGGCCTGTGACATATCTAACGTATCATCGCTAAAGACAAACCAGCAACAACAGCTTGAAAAAAAGGTATTGTTCATTTATCGATACTATTTTTCGGTCTTCATCGCTAATTTAAGTAGTAAAGGATTGCTTCACTGGACACATCACTGGATATTAATTAATGTGGGTAAGGTGAAATGAGGTTATTCCTGAAACACTGGACATTGTTTTCTGATCTACAGCAGTATTTTCCCAAAGAATCATTAGACGTTACAATTTGCTTCTTGTTTTAATACCTAAGATTATGACAATGCAAACAATATAATCGTGATTCGGAGCATCAAAATCTTGTCGCAAAATAGGCATTAATATAATTATGATCCTGGAAAGGTTTGGAACACAGTCACAGATCGATACAGCCCCCTTATGCACTACACCTTTTAGTAGGTAATTTCAAAAGTCACCGACCGAACCAAATCAGCCACCGAGCTTCCACATAAATGGAAGTCCATCAACTTTTAGTCTAGATCACGTACTTTGTGTATCCCTTTGAAGCGTGTGAATTGGCACGGCTCCTTTGGCCTAAAGCAACGATTTGTTTGTTTGTTGTTTAACGCCACACTCAGCAATATGCCAGCGATATGACGGCGGTCTGTAAATAATCGAGTCTGAACCAGACAATCTAGTGCTTGATGTCATGAGCATCGATCCACGCAATTGGGATACGGTGACATGCATCAACCAAGTCAGCGAGTCTGACCACCCGATCCCATTAGTCGCCTTTTACGTGAAGATTCCGGGGTAGAATAGGTCTTCAGCAACCTATACTTGCCGTAAAAGGCGACTATGCTTGTCGTAAAAGGCGACTAACGGGATCGGGTGGTCAGGCTCGCTGACCTGGTTGATACATGCTATCGATCCCAATTGCGTGGGTCGATGCTCATGATGTCAATTACTGGATTGTCTGGTCCAGACTCGATTATTATACAGACCGCCGTCATATAGCTGGAATATTGCTGAGTGCTGCGTTAAACAACAAACAAACAAACAAACAAACAAACCATGCTCAGATAGTACAAGATAAACAATTATGTATGTATATATTATCAAATACACATTTTAAATATCCTCATAATAAAGAATATTTTGTCGTGACACGACAGGGTTCGTATT